CCCCCCCCCCCCCCCCCCCCCCCCGATTTTCTTGTCTCTGGGAACGGGAGTTTAACAGATAAAAATGTCTTCCATAAGAGTGGTGATAAAATTGCAAGATTTGGCCTCTCTTAATCTTTCAAAAATGATATAATATATGGTTTCTAAATATACTTGTCTAATGTAGCTGTACATGGCTGTTGTTTGATTAATCAGCAGCTTTCCATCCATTTGCTGCAACTTTTCATGGAGACAAACTTGCAAAAATCATACAGCAGTACACCCTTAAGTGGAAAACACATGCAGATTTGTAAAACTTTACCATTCTAATACATCGGTCATGGGACAGAGACTTTTTCTGAAAATATGGGGAGTAAGGAAAGTAATCCTCTTCACCCTGCCCCCCACCCATCCTCCCTGCTTACTGGGCAAAGACTTTAGGCAGGGGAAACAGTAGTTTTCTATTTGAATCCTGCAGAACAGTATTTGGGGTCTTGATAATGCATATATCAAAATAAATGTTCCTTTCAAATTGATTTATGTGCATTTAAATATTAATAAAGATATGGTTCCCTTGGCAACTACACCTTGTCTCCTTAGATGTATGTGTGCATTGCATCTTATAATGTTTAACTGTGTGAAGTAATGTCCAGCTGTGGATCATGGAACTTCAGATTTTTCGTGGCTAAAATATTAGCCATGATTTTACAGTAAAACTATTTTTGCACTCAATTTTTGTCCATTCAAATTGTGGATTCAACAGTTCGGTCACACACGGGGAACATGAACTACTCCCTAGAGGTACACCAATACATCGGTCCAATGCTGGATCAGCACTGCTTATTAAAAAAAAATTTACTATATCAGAAATCTGCTTGAAGTGGCTGATGATTTAGCTAATAAATCCTCATGCGTGCACACAACTGCAGCCAGCATGCAGGCACCAAGGAGCACAAGCCCGGCAGCTTTAAGAGTTGTATCCAGCTGATAAGACTGGTGTGGTAAAAGGGGCGTGGGGAGGGAAGTGGTATGGGGGGGGCAGATCAATGCTCCCCGCAGTGAGGGAGGGAGTGGGGCTGGGGCTGAGTAGGTGCTGCTCAGCGGGGGTGGGGAGGACACAGGACTGAGCCATGGTTTGTCTGGGGGAAGGTACAGCTTCCGCCACTGTGTGCCTCTTGTTTAGCAGCTCATCCCACTGCTCAGCCCAGCCTGCAGCTGCAGCCTGCCCTGCCCTGCACGGATGCAGGGGCACATACCTTCCCAAAGCAGTGGTGGGAGCCATGCCCCCCAGATGAGCCACGACTCCATCATGCACCTGCCGTGCCTGGACAGCACCTACCGAAGCCCCACTCCCTCCCTTACAGCAGGGGGCATTGATTGATCCCTCACACCCCTTCTCTCCCCCTCCCCTTTCACCATAACAGACTTACTGGCTAGACTCAGCTGTATCGGACTGGATGGGTATTGGCTAATACGCCGCCTTAAAAAATCAGCTATCAGTATTGGCCCCCAAATTGTATATTGGTGCACCCCTACTACTCCCAAATCCATCTCCCCCCCCCCACATTTAACAAAGTATAGAGGAAAAACTTAAGTTGTACACTTTTAGAGGTATGGAACATGTTCAGTTTGAAATGGCAGGTTGGGCCTAGCTGAGTGCTGCCAAACTACCTTCCAAAGACATCTTGAAGTTTGTCAATATACATGTTTCACTTGCTTTGCATGTGTATCCCATGCCCTGAGACCGGAGGTTTCAGGTATGCATATAATTAGTGGAATGTGCATATGGACAAGACCTCTTCAATTACATTATGGGAAGATAAGCTTATGCAGGTGAGCAAATGATATTGAGTACAGGAATAGCCCTACAGATTAAACTGTGAGCTAATATAAGTATCTTTATCCTTACACTGTAGTTGATACCCTTTTGACACACCTGACTCTTACTTGTATTACTATCTTGTATTTGTCTGGTTTGTTCTATAAGACTGAATAGCTCAGTCAAATTGTATTAGAATCTCACTGAAACTTTCACCTTTGGAGTTTCTGGGGTGTTTTGTTTGTTTTTAAACCCTGCTCCTAAAGCCCAAATATCCGAGACTTGTTTTGAGTTGTTATTCTTTTAACTGTGTGCTTATAAGCAGAAAACTATTGTAGCACACAAACTAGTCCATGTCTGTAGTACACAGTACAGCCAGTCTTCTGCTAGTTCTTTTAAGCTAAACATTTCTGAAGCAATTATTAACAATTAAATAAATCTTGGGTTTGGTTTTTAAGATGCATTAGTACAGGGGCAGGCAGAATACAGCCTGCTCCAAGCACTTTTATCTGTCCTGCGGAGCCCTGCAACAAATTGTGCCCCACCCAGCCCTGCCATCCATGGTGTGCAGCTCTGGCAGGCGGTGGCAGCAGCAGGTGGGGCACTTAGGGCACAGGCACCTGGCAGGGCATGGTTGCAGCCAGTGCTTCCTGCCACTCGCATGCAGCCTCTGCACTTGCACAGCAGGGAGGGAAGCCCCACGTGCTAGAGCCAGGTCCCTTTCCTGCCAGGACTGCATGGCACAGGCGAGAAGCTTCAGGCTCTGGAGCTAGCTGCCTTCCCTGGCCTGCAGGGGAAGGTGCCTGGGACTTCCCTACCCTGTAGTGCAGCCCCTGAGTGGAACATAGCTAGCTCCAGAGCCTGAAGCTTCCCGCCTGTGCTGTGCCGTCCTGGCAGGGAAGGCACCTGGCTCCAGCACATGGGGCTTCCTTCCCTGCTGTGCGAGTGTAGGGGATGCACATGAATAGTGGGGAGCGCTGGCGATAGAGGCAGCCCAGCAGAGGCTGCGCCCCTTGCCATGATGTGCAGCGCTGGCTGGAATTGCACTTCGCCTGCTGCTGCTGTACCATGGGCAGAGTGTGGAGGTGGAGGGGTTCTCCACACTGTCTCAACCTCCCTCACACCCCCACCCTTCCCCCACAACTTCTCACATATACATAACCCCCCAACATACCCTATGCTCCCACACATAGCCACACCCGCACCCTCTACCACACCATAGACACACATGCATGCATCCACACGCACATACTCTCCCCCTACAATACACAAAACTAAGAATTTATTTTTGTGTTACTGTGTGGTCACCTCTGTATACGGTTCGAAATGCAAATCATGACACAAATGTTTTTTGTAATAAAATTAAAATACATTATAGTAGGTGTTTGACTTTTAGTGTATGATGGGGGGGAGGGTGTTTGTCTCTAAGATGGCAACACCCTCCTCCCAAAAGGAGTATTTCCAGGGGGCAAGGGGAAGGACTTCATGTGGCAAAAGTCGGAGGTTAGGGGGTGGGACTTCCAGTCCCAAGATGGTGACAAGGGGGTGGGGCAACTGTCAAGGGGCAGGACTACCTATGCAGCCCTTGACAGCTCACCAAAACTCATTAAGCAGCCCTACACCCAGTATAATTGCTTGCCCCTGCATTAGTAAAAGTGTTAGTTTTAGGTTCCAGTTACTTTTATCATTTAAAATGATGATGATTATTTAAAAAATGTTATCCTTCCTTATGAAAAACTTTGATATGTATGGCAAAAATAGCTCATCACATGAGCAGTTGGATGTACTATAAAAACATCTAAAATCATATAAAAGCTAAAAAAAATTTTTTTAAATATAAAAAAAAAATAAGGACAAGATTGCTATAAATGTAGCTATGACATTAATTGCAAGTGTTCTGTGTTTCAGGACCGTATCCACGTTCCATGCCTTGGTGGTTGGTGTTTTTTGTGTATATATTTTAATGTATGATGAAGCTGTTAATGCAGACCCTATCTGGTAAGATATGTTATATTAAACTAATGTTAATAAAAGCTTTTAAAATTTTATTTTCTTTCTGTTTCTCTTCCAATGATGCTGCTGTGCCAGTCCATTAACTAATAAAATTGTCAGTCAGTTTTCCTGTAAATTGTGGAGCTCAACTTATACGTCTGTTCTCACAATCTGCTGAAATTCAGATTTTGTGCAACTGTCCATGCCACTATTCAGAGCATAAATTCTGTTAATTTATAATGGTATTTTAATTGATAAAATAATCTGATGTCTGCTGACTGTAATTGCACACTGAAGTTCCAATGCACAGAGCTGAAAATAATTATGAGTAGTCAAAGAATGTTAACTTGAGTTAGATCAATATTTGAATAAATTTAGGAGCTGTAAAATGAAGCTGCTGTGTAGCTTGTTGAAGTCCATTTGGGAGTTAAATGCTGGATAACATCATCTTAAATTCTTAAAATTAAGATACTACGTAGGCCTTTTCTGGGACACTAAAACACACTGTCACTGTTTGTAAGGTAGAGGGTATGCCTTTAATAAAGAAGACAGTAAGTTTTTAATTTGATTTTGGTCTTTGGTGTTAACCAAGCTGTAGCCCTCTGCCCCCCACCTTCAAGAGACTTGCAGTCTAACAGATTCTAGTTCTGTTTGACATGTGGGATTGTTGGCTGAAAGCTTAAGCTTCACCTCCTACCTGGTGAGAACTGACATTTCACCTCTGGGGAGGAAGTGACCTGAGTAACTAACTTTTTGTTTGTTTGTTTAATCTTCAACTCATAACTTGCTGTTTTAAACTAATAACTTGGCAATTTGACAAGCTTAATTAACAGTATTTTTCAAACTAATTTAAATATATTTTTCATCTGATTTCGAAAGGATTAAACCGACACACAACTCAATAAAAGAATGCATTCTGGACTGAATAGATCTGGGTACCATGAAGCTGTGACGTTTGATCACATCTCTGCTGCTGGCTTGGTGGCTTTAGGCATATCACTTAGCACCAATCTGTTTTGTCACTTATAAGAATGGAATAATACTTCTACTCTTTCTTTACCTGGGTCAAATATTTAGAATTCTCTGTTACAACTTGCTGAACATCTGTGATTTCGTCTGGCTTCCTTGCAAGTTCAAAGAATGCAGTACTGTGAAGGATTGGGTTAAAAGTTGAACAGCCTTTTGAAGATATGAAGTGTCATTTGTTTTTGTTGTAAACTGAAGTTCTAATAGATTATATTCAGCTATAAACTAATTCTCTACAATATTGGTCTCTTCTATATGTGGCTCCATGGCTACTTGGCATTTTTCTTTCATTCTCTTGGTATCTGTTTTGAGAGAAGGCATTACCAAAAGGACTGGATCAATTGGGCATGCTTGAACACAAGGGAATGATGTTGTTTCTTCAGTGTTGTGGTGAATGTTGAGTGAATTCAAGTTGTCTACTTTTTAACAAGCCTTGGTAAAAAACAAACAAAAAATGAAAGGTGCAAGTACAAGACAGCTTTATTATCTTTAAGTAATACACCTGGAAAATGACCTGATCATTAAAACAGGTAATTATGGGGTAAATTCAAGTAGAACTAATGAAACAATTGCTTTGAATAATGCTTACAGAAATTGTTGCTACCTCCCCATTCAGCACATCGAAAACTAATCCTGCACAGATAGCTGAACGTTCAAGGTTATGTAAAAACATTAAACTTTAACAAGGAAAACTTATCTGCCTTTGGGGAGAAACTATTCTGTAACTCGGCTTATGTTTCTAACCATTTCCTTTACTTGTGTAAGTTCAGAGTAGCTATTGCCGATGGTTTTGGGTGATTCAGTTGGCATCTGGTAGAGTGCAAAAAGCAATCTAAAATATCAAATAGCTTTAAAAGCAACTAGATTTCTCATACTGAGAGAATGTCTAAGTTTTAGTGTTGAGTATGGGTTGGACTTGTGTGTGGCTTTTTGTTTTTATGGCAGCTGTTTTGGGGATTGGACGATAGTATCTGAGAGTTCTCTTGGCTGGGTGAAATTGTTTTAGTTAGTGGTTTCAGGAAGTGTAGAACCCACTGTGTAGGGCTGAGCGCCAATGTTTTTAATTATTAAACTAAAGTCAAGTACTTGAAGTTTCAGTTGCCATTTTTTAGAACATTAAGAATTATCTGGGTTCTTGTTTATGAAATTAAGAGCAGTATTTTAAGGGAAGACTAAGTGTGATAATATTGTCAATGGTTCTGCAAGTTTTCTCATGGAGTCCTGCCAGTGAAAGTAAAGTCATAATTTGCTACCCTTTAGCTCCTCACTATCAGAAAATGCCAACTATGCCAAAATAAAAGTTTTTTATTTTGTCACGTGTAACAGATAGACTTTTACTTACTGGAAGGCTGACTTGCTAGGCCACAAAAATGAAATGGCTAGCATTTGTCCATTTAGCATCATAAATCCCATACAGAATAGCAAATACTATGCAGTGACTAATTAATTAATGACCATATAGTACTTGAATTCTATTTTGCAAGAAGCTGTTTAAAAGCTTAGTTGTACTCTAAATCATTAGTTCATCTAACAGTTTTATAGGTCACACTTTCCATTTTTAGGTTGATTCGTAAGTGGAATCCGCTGAGATGTTATGTAATTGAATAAGACTGAAGACTGAGAACAAACTACCAAGGGAGATGCCAGGTGCATTATAGCAAGGCTGCTCAATCATGTAGAAATCTCATGTCTTTTCAGAAGGCAGACCCTATAAGATGTTGGATTTAGCCATTTACAAACATGGGATACTAGTCATCCACAGAAGTCTCTTACCAACAGAACTATGATTGTTAATGAGCCTAGTTTACACAAGTTTAAGGCCTTGTACCCCTCCTGCACTTTTCTTAACCCTATACCTCCCCCATCTATTTGACCCTGGCTTAAATATACTAATTGCCTTGGGGCAGGGCTGTCCAGATTTTGAGTAGCTAGTGGCCACATGCTTCCCTGTACATGCCATGTGGCACCTCCCCACTGCTCCATACACTGTATCACAGCAGTGCCCCATGTCCCACTGTGGGCTCGTCCCACTACACCATGTGGAGTCCCTAGGTCCCAGGGATGGGAGCAGGGAGCTGGAGGAGGGAGGGGAAGCCTAGAGACCCATGGCAGCAGCAGTAGTAGAGTAATAAGAGAAGTGATACCCAAACTGGGAGCCTTAGGGCTGCAGGTTAACCTCCCAAGGGCTGCATGTGGCTTGCAGATCACCAGTTAGAAAGCACTGTCTTAGGGTATCTGAGCAATTTTAGGGACCAATATGTAATACAGGGAAAGGCTGCAAGTTAAAAATGTTGCAAATCTAAAAGAGATTAACAAAATATTTAATTAGCCAGTTAAGTGTATTTCTAGATAATACTAGGGGTGCACCAATAGAGACTTTGGGGGGCTGATTACTGAGAGCCGATTTTTTTTTTTATTAAGGAGACATACCGGCTGATACCAATCTGATTTCTGATACAGCTGTGTCCAGCTGGTAAGTTTGTTGTGGTGGAAGGGGCATGGGGGTGGGGAGCAGATCAATGCCCCCCCCAGTGAGGGAGGGAGTGGGGCAGGGGCAGATGCTGCCCAGCTGGGCAGGGTGGGGTGTGGGACTGAGCTGCAGCTTGTCTGGGGTGCGCTGGGGGAGGCAGCTTCTGCTATTGTGCATATCCCAGGAGGGCATGAGTGGGGGGACATATGCCCATGGATCTGTGTGGGGTGGGGCAGGCAGGCTGTAGCTGTGGGCTGGAGCCAGGGCTGTGCCAGGCTCTTGTCAGTGGGGGGTAGACTTGGGGTGAGCAGCAGTGGCACTGGCAGGGGCTATGGGGGCTGGGACTGCAGACACCCCAAATTTTGCTGTAGCCCCCTCTCAGCCCCTCCTCCCAGCACAGCCACCACCCTTCCTGGTGTGTGGGTGGAGGCAGAAGTTGAGCGGGGACTGCACTGGGTAGGCGGTGGTAGTTCTGGGAGGGGGGGTTGGGAGGGGCCAGTGGTGAAATTTTGGATGCCTGTAGCCCCCTCCCAGTGTCTACCCCGAGACACTGCCTACCCCAAGCCTAGCCACCGCCAAGAACAGCCCAGCACAGCCCCGGTTCTGGCCCACCTGCTTCACCCTGCACAGATCTGGGGGGCACTCCCCCCACCCTGGATGAGCCATGGCTCTGTCCCGTGACCTGCACTGCTCTGGCTGGGCGGCGCCTGCCCCAGTCCCCACCCCAGTCCCTCCCTCACTATGGGGAGCGTTGATCTGGCCCCCCACACCCCCTCCCCTTCCACCACAACAGACTTACCAGCTGCACGCAGCTCTCCAAGTGCCTGGCTATGCTTCTCACTGCTTGTGTGCTGCACCACAGCTGTGCACACATGTAGGCATTTATTGGCCAAATTATCAGCCGCGTCGGGCCAGTTTCCGATATAACCAATTTTCTTTATATCAGTGTCGATCCAATATTGGACCCATTGTTGGTGCACCTCTAGATAGTAGCTGTCCTCCCTTTCTGGTACTGCCATGCTGATCTGTAACTGTGTGGCAATGCAATGGTGACCAAATCAGCTTTTTTTACAGAGCAAGTTGTATGTTAAGGCACAGGCCCGTGACTTCACCTGAAATTCTTCTGGGTTAATATATGAAGCGGGGTAGCCAGGCTGTTTTCAGGGGTATGTGGAACTTAAATTGATCTCTGTTTGTGGTGATATCCACAGGACCCCATTGTGCTAAGGTTTTGGGGGATGCATGGAGAGCTTTGGTCCTTGTACTGAAGAATTTATCAACTTATATTGGGCGTTACACATTTTGTCCCAAAATGAGTATTTGTTAGTAATACTCATACTGACAAAGTATAAGTATGACTGAAGGGTCAACAGGGATTACACTGAAATATCAGTTGCCTGTTCATTTGAGTTACGTGTACCTCTTGATAGCGTAGAAGGTTCCATAATATTGTGACTTTCCTGATTTCATGCTTGATCCAACCTGTGTCTTCACAGGCTATGTCGGTATTGTTTTGATGGTAATGAGAATGGGAGAATTTAGATGGAGGAGGAAGAAATTAAAATGAAACTTCCCAAATGAGCTTTGTTATGCAGTGGTCAGTCTCAGAAATCTTCATACTTCCTTTGAAGTATGATGTTGGACTGTAAGGATCAACAGTCCTACCTGATAAGGTAAATCATGCATTTTTGTGAGACAGAAATGGGAACCAGGTCACGAACTAACCAGCTCCAGGCAAGTAAAATGGGTAGACTTTCATTAGTTTATATGTGTGTGTGTGCATGTTACTGTTCAATTTCCTTGCAACCTCTGGTGGCATGTGAACCTTTCTTTAAAGTCTCAAAGAGAGTGTTTCATCCATTTGCTTGATCAAGCCACTTTTCTTTTGACAGTTTATTTACCTTGAATATAGGCCATTCATTGCCAAGTTTCATTCACTGGTCTCCTTGGATGGGAATGGCAATCAGGGAACCTGGGATGTGGGACAGGAGGCACTTTCTAACCTTTAAAGCTATGCAGATCACTTTGCCACACTAGGGATTCTGATAGGGAATTTTCTGCACCATGGGGAATACCAGTGCTGGCTTTTCTCTAGATCTGATTTCAAGAATGCAATGGTGGTAGCCCATATTGGACTATCCCACCCAGATCTGTTGTACTCACTCATACCAAGGGAACAGTCTCCTTTATTATTGTTCTTTTCTGTAATACTAAGACAAATTATCAGGCCATAATGTCCAGATACAAATATTACCTATGAAAGAGAAATATTGCCTGGTCACTTCCAGAAGACCAAAGCAAGTCTTTATTACTGAATGGCTGCCAATTACTGAGTACATTTTGAGAGAATCCTTAGCTTCTCATGTAACATCTAAAGCTGTAAGATCAGTCTTCCTAACTAATGGCTCTTCTATAGTTTTTTGTGTCAACCAAGAGGTGACTTAAGGGGGTATAAAGATATGTGATATTTATAGGTTTTTTTGTTATAAAGTCTGTAACTGCACTTTTTTTGGTATGTTTACAGGGGTGACCCTTCAATTGTGAAACTGAATATTGCTATTACCACAGGCTACCTCATTTCTGGTAATTATGCAATATGTATATAGTATACATTTGGATATCTGTATCAAATCATTGTTCTAAAGATTTGTTGAATGTATATAATATTGATTCCATTGTAGCTTTTAAATATATTTGTGGGCTCTGGAGCAGTGGCAGAATCCTCCCAAAGGGATGCGGAGAGATGGAAATGGTATTTCTGTGGGTGGTAGAGGAATGCTGCTGCATGGTTTATGGTCAGGGATGCATCTGCCTACTGCTAACTTGCTCTGGTCTACCATCCAACTCGGAAGGAATTGAAGTTGTTGGCCTTAGTGCTCTTTGGAGTGTCCTGAACTTCTGCCAGGTTGAACAAGCTCCTCCTCCTTTAAGCCCATAGGCTGTCCCCCCATGAACAGGGGTGTGCAGTTGCCCTAGCACACCCACCTGCACGTGGGGTTAACGTGAGGGAAAAATACTCTGGGTGGCATAGGGGAGGCTGGGGCCAGCACCTGTGCTGGGCCCAGCAGCCTTACCTGAAGTTCTAGGGGCCTCCTGGGGCAAAGGCAGCGATTGGGTGTGCGGAGCATGGCTGGCGGATAGAGCATGGCTCTGGCCAGTCAGGCTCCACTTACAGACAGTGTACACTGCCACCATGTGCACTGCCCCACTCTTCTGGCACAGGGTTTTCTTTCATTTTGGGTTTTTTTTTGACACCAGGATCTCCTGGTGTCAAAAAACCCCACCCCACTGCAAATTAGCAGCATGGCAAATGCCTGCATATGTGGTGTGTGCAAACCACCGCATGTGCACTCATCTGGACGTGCTCATAGAATGCAAGCAGCAGGGTTTTAGTAACCCCACCAAAAGTTGAAAAAATTACTATATCTTTACTCTTATCTCCATTGGCCCCTTAAGCCAGATTCTTATGTGTAAGAGTCTTATGTGTGAGAATGTAGAGAAGAACATTAATTACCCTGTCTGATGGGGCTTTCATCCTTACATACACTTGTGCTGTACTTCACTCAATTATCTCTTCTTAGTTAAAAGTGATTGGGGTGTTTTCTGAGAGAAGGATTTTTGATGGAAAATGCTGAATTATTCAAGCAGGTTTTTGTTGTGGTGATATGGAAAAGCTTCTTTGAAACTAACATGTTAAGGATGGAACTTCTGGTTAGAGGGATAAACAACAGGTCCGTCTGGATCATAGCACTAATTTACCATGACGGAGAGTTAGGATCAAGTCCAGGGACTGCCAAATAGAATGACTTGTACTTTGGTCTTCTACATCCCTAATCATCCAGCTTTTCTGGGGGAAGTACTCTCAATCCTATTTTTGACTCCTTATATACATTCATTGGAACTTTTATTTTGAATAATTCTCTATTGGCATTTCATTATAAATTCATGAATGCATTGGAACAGGCACTTGCCTCTATAGCCCAATGGCTAAATTCAAGTCTCTTTTGCTTAAGTAATATTTAATTTTTTATAACCACTACCACTGGTAGTCAGGTCACATACTTGTGGGAAACTTGAAGTTCACGACCTTGGACTAATTTTGGGAAGAGCAAGGACTATAATTGAGGTTTCCCACATCAATGATGAGTGTGTAATGGTCAGGCTGTTCTAGTGCTCTGTGTCTTGTCCCAGTTCAAAATAGAGACATTTTTGAAATCTCAAAATTGTCATGGGATGGGAAAGCAGTTTTCTGCTCAGTCCTTCTCTTAAATAGTGAGACATGAGTTCTCGTTATATTTTTATAATTTGTGAACTTTGATTAATGAAGCTAAGATCTATTCAGAGTGAATCCTACAAATATGTGTTTGGCATTGGGGGGTTGTGCCTAATTATATAACCTTCTTGGCTTAATCTCTTTGAATATTTTAGTGTTGATCCACAGAAGACAGTTTTAAGATTAGAAGTTTTCCCTTCAAAGGAAATTAAGATTATTTTGTTGCTTTAAATTGGGTATCATTTGTCATGTAAAGTGTCTGCATCGATAACCTAGAAAGATTTGAGAATTGAAGTAAAGGCTAAAGTAAAGGTGTGGTAAATTACTAGTTTTTTTTTTTT